AGTTTTATTTGAATCCAAAAAATATTGTTTCAATAACCTTATATGTTCTTTCACATTAGAAATTGTAAACAGAAGAAACCAAAAATTTGCACGCATGCAAGACCCCACAAAATTTGGGAATTGGTGGGTTATACAGTTAAAACAATGTAAAAGTGTCCACGACAGAGCCAAAAGTACTTGATATACTTGTTTTTTTAATATAAACACTATATTATTAATTAGGTCTGTGTACTTATCGGCAGTGCTTTGAATGGGGATTCAAGTAGGCGTGTAAAAGCGAGCAGGGAATGATCATTTTCACACTCGGATGAGAACCAATCTTGTATGTTGTGTGGGTTGTCACTTGAATAGGGAGCTCAATATGTGTGAAGGTGGTATGTGGGGTATCGCAAGCATCGAGTGGAGGCAAACGGGTTTCTTCAAGCAATATATCCGGAAGTGGATGTGCACGTATTTGAGTAGTTGGTAAGCCAGCTAAATGAGCAAATCTGGATTTTGGGTGCAAGTCCGAGCCCTATTACTGATACAATTAAAGAGCTGACGTTGGAAATTACAAAACCAGACAAAAATTCACATCCCTGACAAGTTTTATTACAATTGCAATGCCATAGCTAAAGTCAGTCTTTAAAAAAAGTAGTAAGGTGGACACAAAAGGCTACAACAAAGCCAAACAGTTAACCCAATATGCATGTTTATAAAATGTGAGAAGCCACAGTAGTCGGAGAAAACACCCACAAATACGGAGAAAACTGCCCACTGGAATGTCAGACCCAAAATTGGAAACCCAAACCTGCTAACAGAGACCAATTTGCTAACCACACCATTCGGACTGGTATTGTAGTTTGAGGTTGTTGTTTTTTTTTTTGTCAGCTCTCCTCCTCCTTGGCATGACAATACACTGAGTTTTCTGAGCTACAGCTGACAGGTTTACGTCAAACACAACCTCGCTGCTACTTGGTGGCCCTCTTGTCACACTGCTGATCCAACTTAATATCTTCCTTCCACACACCAAATGTATAAAACCACCGCAGAAGAGTGCTGCTGCTGCATCATCATTATAGTTTTACTTAAAAAAAAAAAACAAACGCTTCATAGTTCCAAAGTCAGGGATTTTCAAGTAGTTTGCCATGCACTGGAGTGTGCCACTTTTTTGACAGTTTTGTTTGCTGATGGGCCTGGATTTTTTTAAATACGTACAATATGTGCCTTGGCTCAATGAAGGTTGTGAAACACAGCTCTAAATAAATCAAATAATGATGTCAGGCAGATAGTGACTGAGGAGCCTCAGCGTTCTGCATATTTGCTCACATGCTCATCCTGTTTTGGCTTTCGAGCAAACAAGCAGCTACTGGAACCTACATATGCAATTTCTATCATTTAAAGAAAGGTAGACTCCACTGCATCTCAGTTGCTTTTCTCTTCCGACGTTATTGTGATTACAATGTCCAAAAAGCCTTCTGAAAAATGGACTGAATTTCTTCTATATTGAATGTAATGTGCATCAACAATGAAACAAATGTAACCTGATGTCACCAAAGAAAGCAGGGCACACAATTCATTTTAACAAATGTGACAGTCAGGCAACATGTTTCGAGTTTCTATTTCACCTCTGAACATGAACTGGTGTGGCAGGATTGTTTTTCTGGTGCTGAGCCTTGTTACTTGGTCTAGGTGGGAAATAGTGGCTCCATCTGGCCTGAACAAATACACCTGTGCATTTGGAGCCTCATGCATAATGCAAGGAACTTATTGATTGGGGATGGACATGGCACCTCGTAGGCAGTCCACCTCAGATGCCTCTTTCAAACCCACAACACACAGAAGAAAAGTGGAGGGTTGAAATTGAGCGACAAAATGTACACTTCATTTTATCCGCATACAGTCACATTAACAGATCTGTTGAAATATTAACGACACACATTCAATCTCTGTATTGCTGCTTCAGGACCAGACAACCCATTTAGAAAAACTACGTTTAAACTGAAATCTATTTGTGTTTGAAATTGACCCACGAGAAATGTTTCTAGCCAATTACTGCAATTCAGAATGAGAATGTGAGAAGTAAAAGCTGTTGATTATATAAAAGAGGAAACCAGTTGTTCATTCGTCAGATTGTGAAATTTGATTTGGTTTTAGTAAACCCTTGCCTCAGGTCCCTAGGATTAACCTGCAAAAAGATTTTCCTTAAAGTTTCTCCTAAAGTGAAGTCATTGATTACAAAAACTGCAAAGAGGGGAAAAAAAAGTTCTTTTGAGCCTTGCAACTCAGGGGGCTTGGCTCACACGGTGCTTATATGTACAACGTTTTACAAGGGGCATTGTACAGTGCAAATCATACAAACAGACATCGGCAGACTCCCGCCAGCTAGTAGTGTTTAGATCTGGCCCTGGTATTAAGTTACATTTTTTGTACATTTGGGCATATAAACATACAACAAGATAATGGAATTGCTTTGTGAATGAGCCAGCTGTCAAGTACTAAATCAAATTAATGTTGTAGTTTATTGACCTCCAGTTGTTAACATGAACACAACGCGAATCCAAAGCTACAAAGGACCTTGTCTCACCGTTTTGCGAGGAGCTTCTTTGCTCAATCTTGCAGATCTTGCGGCAGAACAAAGACTTCCTAGACTGACCAGGTCAGAAGATCCTCGCCATGCTAATGTAACCTTACACCGGTGAGCAGGAGCCAATATTGCCGCACTGCACAAAACGGGAGCCTTAATGTGAAGCATCCACTAGTCCCAATGGCAAAATGCATTCATTTCACCTCTCTACGGAAACGAAATGATGTTTACGTGCAGGCGTAACTTCAACGCCCAATGAGTTCACATCTGACAGAAAAATACAAAAGGCTGAGCTGATTCAAATGCATAATTGCGCAAAGGTGGAAGTGAAAGCTCGAGTAGCAATAACTGTGTGCGCCATGTTGAACATGAAGGAATAACACATTTAAATTAGTCATGCATCACACTTTTTTATGCCTTCACTTCACTGACATGTATTTCATGAGGCAGCCCAATAAGTATTGATAGTTACCAAATTGCAGTTCAACAAAACATAAGATCAGGCACAGCGCGACCGTCATCCAACCCCTAACTCGACTGTGCCTTTGCACAAACTTTTAGCTTTGAGTTACCAGTTTTACAGTCACCGAAATCAGCTGATACAAATGTCAAGTTAACCTCAAATTACATCGTTTTGAATAGGCACAGCAAAGCAATCCCTTGGAACATCAAAACAATAACTCCGGAAAATTGCTTGAAATGACTAGCCACCACATCAAACGTCGTCAGCGACTAACCTCTGCTGGCCATTCGGCAACAGTGTCTACACTGTCAAACTAAAATTCCACAACTGCCATTTCTTTGGCGAAATATCTCCAACTTGTTACCATTTTTTGGCCCACCAACTTGACTTAAGAGGAAGGACAGTTAAGAGGAAGGATAGTTAAATACAGCCAGATAAAGCTGTGGATGTAATTATACTTGGAGAGACAAACAAATAATTCCATATCAGATCAGTTTAAACAAAATGAGCCTCGAGAGAACTTCCTGCCATACAGCAGCCTTTAACATGTTTCACTACTGCAAACATGGACTTTAAACTAACTAACATTTAGATAACTTCCAAATAATGAACGTGGATATTTTTGTATCATAATCTGGATGCCAGATAGGTAATGAAGTGCAACTTGAGCAGAGACTCCAGCTCCCCTCTAGAACCCTTTACATATGGTTCATTTGGATAGTGAATAAAATATTGATAGCAATCAAAACATGAAAACAATTCTGTATGTGGATCAAGTGAATCAGATGGGCCGTGACCTTTGCAACAAAACTGTTTGTCATTGATTGAGCTGCATCAACAGCTGCTGTAAACTGCATACAAATACTTTGACAAAGGGAAGAATAGGACATGGACATTTGTTTTAATAGTCCCCAGTGTGATTGTCAATTAGGCTTTACAGCATGGGTCACCCACGCAGTGTCCGCGGGCACCAGGTAGGCCTCAAGGGCCATATGAGTAGCCCGCAGGCCTTTTCAAAAACTAGCTCACAAGTGAGAAGACATTGTGACTTTCTAGGAATGGTGTGCAAGTGTTCATTTGATAATGTTAACCGACAGCAATTTATTGTTAAAAAAATGCATATTTCTAATTTCTCATTATTGTAAGAAATAATAAACATACAATAGGAAGACATAATTAAAGATCATTTGAGCGAAATTGTCTTTTCAAAAATGTGTATCAAACTGGTATCCCTCTGGACTGATCTTTAGCAATGGAGTACTGTTCAGTTTCAAAAAAGTTGATGACCCTTGCTTTACAACAAGTGATCAATGTTTACATCAGACCCTTTATTCAGGGATGGTCTGACTTGCATGAACAAAAAAACGTTGTTCTGCAACACAAGTGGTAACGTGCAAAACTTTCCCAAATAATGAACAAACCTTTTTTTCCTAAGTCCCAAATGTATCAGTTGAAAATAAACTATTCCGAATAAAAGAATATATATTGTATCTGTGCTATCCTGGAAGATCAGAATTTAACATTCAAACATATTCCTACAGTATGCGATTTAATTCTGTTGGGCTTTGATGCATTAACCCGAGTCTCATATTTCATAATTTCTACTTAATTACATACTATGCTACAGAGGAAAATACGATCCACTCACAAGGAACAGTTGTCGTTTCGTATTCGTATACTGCTAGCAAAGTGTGAGGTCCAAAAAAACCCAAAGAGTAAAATACAATCCACTCAAAGGAACAACTGTCGTTTTGTATATTATATGCTGCTAGCAAAATGTGAGGTCTAAAAAAATTAAAAACAATACGGGTCACGCAAACGATGGAAGGATGAGATTAACACACCCCACCCCGTACCACCCTCCCGCCCCCCGGGGTTGCATTTGCACCGCATTCTGCACAGATAACGACCGGCATACATTACACACAGCAGACATGAGCTCAAATGCAAGTCCAGGATCTTCACACCCACCTGAAGAACAGGAGATGAGGAAAACGGCGAGGGCCAGTTTGGTGGCGTCTCCCATTTTCCATCCGAATCGGATTCCAAGATAAGAAAAAGTAAAAAAAAATTAGAAGAAAAAAAGAAAAGTAAAAAAACAATCCTCACGGCGGCAGAATCAGAAGAAGCACATGTTCAAAACGAGATAAATCCAAAGCTATCTCGGGTAATGCAAAGAGGGGGAGGGGGGTACTTGCTTGGTATTTCCACGTTTACAGATGAGCAAAGGAGGGCAATTTCGTCTTGGCATTCAAGCCAACGCTAGCATACGTTTGGCATGCTGCAGCATCGTTACGAACAACCGTGGCTTTGTTGGAACGATTGTTTTGTCAGAGGAGCGGAAGAGTGAAGCAAGCCACAACCGGACAGAGGCAATATCCATCGGACTGGAAATCAAGCGCACTCCGTCCTCCAATCAAACTTGTCCTCGCAGGGCTGCCTAGCATTGCATTAAAACGTCAAATTGGCAATCATTTCCCAACAGTCGAGCACGACAGTGTGGTGCCTGGTGTCGATTTTCTGTCCAACTCCACGCACAAGTCCAAATATTACCCAATAGTCCGACAAGGCAGCGAGGCCAGAGCTGAGGATCGGTTCGCCGCTCCACAAGCAAAACCAGCACCAATAGCGAGTCGCTCTTCGTTTCAACCTCTTCAACAGACGTCCTCTTTGAAATATGGTCGACAAGATATGATCATTTGACGAGGGCAACCGGCGGAAGCCCCGTTAATCTGCGTCAGTAATGTGGCTTTCGAATTTAGGACGCGTAGCTTTCCCGACCCCAAAATCCTCCTCCACCGCCGCCTCTCAGCTTCTGCCCCGGACAATTCAAGATGGCGAAGGGAGCCGCAACGAGACATGGATTGGTAGATTTCCGCAATGGCATTTCAAAATAATAGTATTCACAAAATTTGATTGTCGGTCAGATTTCGAAACAATCGCGCATGTTTTCAATATCTTAATGATCTAAACACATTGCCCACATTGTACGTATTTATTCTTGTGAGTATTTTCTTGTAAAAAATTAAATCAAAGATATCATATCCGGCAGATACTGTGGTCATTCCTGTGAACTTTATTCAACTGCTTTACGAGCGACCGGGGATTATTTTGTTGGAGAAATTTGCCAGTTTTGTTCATTGCGTTTGCCATCGTCACACAGACTTGTAGTTTATTCATTCATTCATTAATTTTCCGAACCGCTTTATCCTCACTAGGGTCGCGGGGGCTGCTGCAGCCGATCTCAGCTGTCTTCGGGCAGTAGGCTGGGGACACCTGAATCGGTTGACAGCCAATCGCAGGGCACACAGAGACGAACAACCATCCACGTCCACGCTCACACTTTGGGACAATTTTAGAGTGTTCAATCAGCCTGCCATGCATGTTTTTGGAACGTGGGAGGAAACCGCAGTACCCGGAGAAAACCTACCCAGGCCCGAGGTGTAGTTTAAAACCAACTAAATCAAACTATTTAAACATATCTGTAGTTTTATCGGTCCTCGAGTTATGCTAATTCACACAATCTACAATTCTCAATTCAAAGGTGTCCAAAGTTAACTTCTAATTGAGTCCTGCAATCACCTTCAAGTCATCCTTGGTGTTCTGTAACGCACTGAGAGAGGCCATGAATTGGCAATCACAGCTAATTATATCATACAGTTCTGAGGGTTTGTGAATTTGACTTGATTTTACAATGGATGAATGTAAGGTTTTGTCTCTTTTGTGTTCTTTAATCGTGTTTCAATGCTTAATTTTTCACAGATTGCATTGTACATGTTACAATGGAGGCTGGTTAGCGCGTCAAAGTACAAAGGTGCAGGGTTCGAATCCGGCTCCGGCCTTCTTGTGTGGGGTTTGCATTTTGTATGTTCACCCCGTGCCTGTGTGAGTTTTCTCCGGGTTCTCCGGTTTCATCCCACATTCCAAATACATGCGTGGCAGGTTAATGGAACACTCTAAATTGTCCCTAGGTGTGAGTATGAGTGCGGATGGTGATTCATCTATGTGTGCCCTGCGATTGGCTGGCAGCCAGTTCAGGCTGGACCCCGCTTACTGCCCGAAGACAGCTTGGATAGGCTCCAGCACGTCCCGTGACCATTGTGAGGATAAAGCGGATCAGAAAATGGATGGATGGATGTTACAATGGCTTTCAGACAAATAATGAATATTTTTAAAAAACAAAATATCCAGAAATGTGCAACACAACCTTTTGGTTAGCACTTCTGCCTTGCAGTTCAGTGGTTGTGGATTTATTTAAATCTTGGCTTTAGCCTTTCTGGGTAGAATTAGTATGATCACCCTGTGCCGGAGTGGCTTTTTTTCACGGTACGCAGGCTACCTCCCACATTCCCCAAAATTGTATTTTGGGTTAATTGAAGACTAATGATCCATCAGTGAGAATGGAATCAAGATGTGCCCTGCAATTGTCTGGTGACCAGTCCAGGGTTTACACGTCCTCCCTGTCAGCTGGGATAGACTCCAGCTCACCTGCAATAATGAAGACAAGCGCTATAGAGAATGGATGGATATACAGGAATTACATGGCCTTGTATATTACAGTATACAACTACTGTCTGTCATTGGCAACATGCCTGTAATCTTACAGTATGTAGGTCAACATAAATTACAGACAGTATGTACAAATAACACCCATCTGGAGAATATACCACTCTGTCTTCACATAATGTATTAAGTTTCAGCATAGATTGGGTGTTCTGTAATAAATGCTGAGAATACCATGAAGTCCAGATATAGGCTTGGCCCATCCCCAAATTTCTGTGACACTAATCTCTCTAATAGCCCGGAGCAGATCTCAAACGTAAGCGCTGCTAAACGATTAGGAGGTCAAAGTTCTCAGGGGATCGTTCTGCCAAGCTGAGTCACCTGTACTAAAGTGGGGTGTTAGCTCTCATTTTCAGCAAAACAACATGTTTGTACATAGCTTCAGGCACAAACACTTTTGGGGTGAAGAGTTCAGTATCCTGTTGATGATATTTCCCTTGCAGCTATTCGGAAGTATCTCTGTAAAGGGCTCCTGAAATTGAGGGAGATTAAAGTTTATTATCGCACGCATTCAACAATGAAAGACTGTAATAGTAATAATTAGCACGTGGTGGTCGTCACAACTATAAATTGCAGGTTCATTTGTTTACATACCATTGTCAGATTCCTTTGTCTTGCGTCACAATGGATATTAAAAAATCTACACCATCAATGATTGTTGAATAGCTGCATAATCATTTCAAAACATTTCCACTATTAAAGTGACGTACAACCCATACTTTTTTTTCTCATAGGGGAAATAGAAATAAACTGAAATAATCTGGTTTCACAATCATGCACATTTTATACTTGGATGTGGATAAACGTGTGCTGATTTCCATTTATATTTATATTAAAACATTCAGGATGAACCTTGCAGAGGAATCATCTTTGGACAACCGCCAGTAACATTAACCATTAAGTTACTCATGTTACTACATTGGAGTGACATACAAATTCTGTGGAGGCAGCCTTTTTGGTATTAAAGCCCTGACAAAGCGACAAGCTGTAAAACGGAAAGAACATAGTTCCAATCCAGCTAATGCATGACAAAGGGGACTTTTAGCCACCTCATGTGAAGAAGGTTTCTCTACCTCTGACTGAGTGAGGAAGACTTCCAGCTCTGCTTCTGGAGATTTACTGTCCAGTTCATCCCATTACTCAACTATCAGATGCCAAATCCCTCCTAATGGCATTACACGTGCCAGAATTACGTATGATGATGCTCACTAATGAGAGCTCAGCAGATACCTTACTGGAACCAATGGCCCCTTTGCACAGAGCAACCCTCAGCCTTAATGGACTCAGTATTGAGTGTCGGGGGGAGTCAAATTTATTGACAAAGGGCTTTTAACAAAAGCAGGTAGCTGGCAAAGTGCAGTGCAGCACAACAAAGGATGTAAATACACCTCGATGTGGATACCCGTGTTGTATTGTTAATAGGTGAGGCTTGAATTGTGTTTATAATGTGTCAATGTAATCTTTCAGAACAGAGATTGCTACCTCTATGACATATTGAATCCTCAAAATCTGACTGTTGCTCTCAGGCCATCTGCATCTGTCTTCGCAAAGTGATTCATCCAGTTATGGAGATTATCTAAATGCAAACATTTCAGAATGTCAATGTTGGCCTGTCAAGTCGGCTGAGTAGCACAGAGAAACACACAGCCAATAGGTTTGCTCAAACTAACTGACAAAATCATTTTTAAACCCGCTTTGGGTCTGCCACAATGCCACTGCCAGAGAGATTTAATGTGTCTTCTTGCTCATTCTGAACACTCCCCATCCAGTCGTTTGAGCATGAATGAGCTTTCCCATTGACATCTCTGGTCGTGCCTGCAGGGTGATCAGCACCTGTAACCAAAGCCCAGTGGATGCCGGTCTAATTACGTTTTCATCCTGTCCTTGCATGAACCCACATGGTACAGCATCATAAGAAGAGGAATTATTGAGCCAACATGAGCTCCTATGATTCTGTCCTGTGCTTGCGTTACCGATGCATGAGAAGTGATCTGCGTCTATCAATCAGAGCACACATAGAAGAAAGTTGTTCAGGACCTTCAAGGTCGCAGCACTGCAAAAAGACAACGCATACATCACCAATCGTTGACAGTTCACATTTGAATTGTGCGAGAAGTTATCAGCATCTTCCTAATCCCTGTAGCATGCCTGACATAATGTACAGCTGTTCTCTGGCATGTGGAGTATGTGGAGTGATGTATTTGGGTTTGTTTTTCCATCTGTTTGCTCGTTATCATTCTACTCCAGAGGGCTATGAGCACCATGGCAGGCGGTGCCATTATGATCGTGAGGATTGAAGGTTTCTTAAATGGGGAAAATTTCTGTATCCGGACCCTCATACTTACCAACATATAATGGGTTCCTCTTGGTGAAAATTTGTTGCATAGTCCTGCTGTGTACAGTATGTCTGGCTGTATGTCAATATTTTGGTGGCCTAATACTTTTGCACATGTGGGGTATTGAAATTTAACGAATTATTACAACGTCTGGTCCCTGCACAAATAAGTATGAAAAAAGCTCTGAAAGCCGATATTAAATGACGTAACTAATCAATTGTGAAGGTCACACTCTTTGCAACGAACTGAGATCACTCATCAGAATGTCATCAGGCCTGCTGCAGTAGCATTCAACTGAAAAATTTGATCTATGCTAAGCAAACTGCTGTTCTTTTTGTTGAACTCTTGGAAAGTTGTCTGCATCCCCGAATTTTTGTCAAAGCAACATCCAATCCTTTCAGTTGTGATTCAGAAACTGACTTTGCGGGTTGTGCTCACCTTAATGCTCTGGAATTATGATTCTGTATTATTTTTCTCTTTGCAGTGGGTCAGTGTGAGTGACAGCTCTAAATGTAAAGTGCAAGGTGCCCAAAATATGAGTTGGCATGACCAGGCTAGTTTGAAAGTAATACCAAGTAACACCAATGACGAAACAGTTGCGTGGTTGTGCAATTAGGCCACGGTATTTGTGGAATGTAACCTAATACACTGAAACCTTTATAGACAACTTGTTCCCGGCCTTCGGAACAGCAACTGCAGCAGCGAGTAAATGCATCCAAAACAGGAGAGGGCCTTGTTTTTTTTTTTTAAGGTGTTAACCATAAACTCCCCAGTGTAACTAAGAACCTGTATGGGACCAGTGGCGTCAGAGCATATCACCCCATTGCGTGACTCTCACAGTAGTCTGTGAAGGTATTTAAATGCAGGAAGCATGGCGATGGTGCCAGCATGACATGTTTGTTTTACTGTAGAAGCCCAGCCCACTGCTTATTACTGCCTTATGCTCACAT